TTTTATTTTTGTTTTTTACTTCTTTCTATGCTGAAGTCAGAGATTTTGTACTTAATTTTTGTGTCTTCATTATGATAAAGTTGTAATTCTACATTTGCCTCCTCCTTATGCTAATGCTAGAGATGTTATACTAGCTCCTTTTTCTGCTAAAGTTAGAGATGTTATTGTATTGTATTTTTGTATATATATTTCATTTATCTTGTGTTGTGTTCTCCTCATTCCTACTCTTCTGTTACCAGAGATGCAACACTGAAAATTCCCCACTATAGGAAAAATAAATGATCTCTTTATCAAAATATTTAGAAACAAGGCGACTTTAGTTCCTCAGACTGGTCCAGGAGTCCACAAACAGGATGGAAAAACTATTTAGACTGAATTTGAGCTTTAAAATGGGGTATTATGCGTCTATAATGACTCCCAGAGATGAAGTTCTCACCTCAGCTACATGAGCACCATAACTGTGAAAGCCAGATCCCATCAGACCTCCGAAGCTAAGCAAGGCATGATATGGTTAGTTCTATGATGGGAGACCTCTGGGAACATTTAGGGCGGCTGTAAATTGTGTTTGTGTCCTTATAAGCAAGACACTTCACCCGCGTTGCCTAGAATGAGTCTGGTGTGTGTGCGTGAATGGTTGGTGATGGTCAGAAGGACTGATGGCACATACTGGTTGCCTCGCATATGTCAATGTGCCCCCGGGCAGCTTTGGATACAGTTGTAATTTATCACCGCTGTGTATGGAGTGAAATAGTGCCATGTGAAGCGTCTTTGAGTGTCAAAAGGAATTGATTGATAAAACCAATGTCATCTCATTGTCTTCCCCTTTATTAGTCAATTTCTGGGTTGGGGGGGTGGCAATCAGAGCCCAATGCTACCCAATTTTGCTTTCTTTTTCATAATGGCTGTGTGGTCCATCCCGCGGTAAAATGTGAAAAAACGCATTTGCGCATGTGGCACGAGCCCCATTCATTTCACAAGTGCATTCAAACGGCCACAACGGCTGAACTAGGCTGGTCAAAAAAATAAAATCCCCTCAGCATTGACACTTATCCGTTTTCGAGAGGAAAAAAGGTCTCATTTGAATGCACTGGATAATTCTGTTTCCGGGTACACCCCCACCGGCAAGGAGTCAGATTAGAAGCATGTTCGCGAACATGCTCATGAACCCTTTTGAGCCGGGACCTGCCCCCACTGGGTATAACACGCTTTAATTGGCAGAGCTGAAGTTGGCTGGATGACGCTGTTAACTTTTATTAATGATTTAATTCGCTACTTTGTGTTGGTTAGCAAGTTGGCCACATAACATGACGCAGAGGGTTGCATTTTGCCCTCGGTCCTGAGTTTGGGCATGCCTGATCTGACGGAAAAATCTGAATTTTTTCTCTCACTTTTGCTAATTGCCGCGACTCAAAAATCATTATCATTAAAATTGCAATAATGATCATAGGCTCAGTGTGAATGCTCAGGTGGTGGAATAAAAAATGGTGAATGTGTTTTGTGGCTTAAGCTGTTTTAAAGCTGATTTTGAAAGCGAATACAAAGAGAGACATTGAACCACAGCACTTACGGACAGTTCATTTGGCCTGCAGCTCTCTCGAGGTCATTTCTTAACAAAAATAAATTAGTTTGAGCTCCTAATCCTGAATATAAAGCAAATAATATTTTTTAAATGTGGTCATCGTCAAAAGGGAGTTTTTCACATATGAGGCACTGTTTTACAGGTTGAAAAGATACGGACATTGGATTGCTCTATTTTCTTTGGGGGAAGAAAAGGTTTCCAATGTTTTTTTTCACAACCAAAAAAAGAATAGAGAGATGGAGCCAGCAGCAAAAACAATACAATTGGATGATTAACAAGAAAAATAATAATTATACAGACAGAACATAGAAAAACACAAATAGAGAAAGAGATGACAAGCACGACAGTTTTTTTAATTCAAGATTTATTTTCCACATTCATGAAAAGTCTTTGAGATGTGGTCAGAAGGATTCTCCATCCAAAAGACATTTAACATCAATCAAGGCATTTTTTGTGACAACTTTACCATAATTAACAAAATAGTTACACACATTGAGACGCACACATAGCTACATAAACAAACTCACGCATGTACGCACACGCACACACACATAAACAAACTCACATACAAGTACACACATGCGCGCACACACTCACACACAAACTCAAGCATGCACGCAGCACACAAACTCACACTCTCACACACACAAACTCACGCAGACACGCACACACACACACACACACACACACACACACATATACTTGAATTTAGTTCAGATGGGGTTCAGGTATTGAAAACAAAGGAAACTTAAAACCCCCATGCGATGCTAATTCTGCTTTCTGCTTGGATACATCTGTAAAACGCTAACACAAGTAACACAACCATCATGTCCGTCCTATTTTCAATTAAGAATATATCTGCAATGTCATTTCAATCTGAAAAAGCCAACTATGATTTTGACCTTGTGTCTGGAGATTAAAGAAATGTGTTTTAAATTAAAATACTACAGACCTTCCCTTTAAAATGGAGGATGGCTCTCGTTCCTGACAGATTTTTATTACGTTTGCTTCTTGAACTAGTTCTTATTTTTGGGTTTATTGGTCTCTCTACAGGAACAGGTGAGACACACAGCAGTGGCAGTTAAAGGCAACGTTCCTTTTGTTTTTGCCTGTTGATTTTGTGAGCTCTAAAAGTTTAAACCCCCAGTTGTAGAATGAGTTTCAACCAAACTAAAAAAAATCATTAAAAGTTTTCCAATTGCAAAGCTACACCTCATTACGCCAAATATATTTCATGACCGCAGTTTTATGAGTGGAGAAAAAGCCCTTTGACAATACTATTTACTACTATTTACAATTGAGAATGACTTATCCCTCACTCACATAATTAGCTTCGTAATCACTAAAATTATATTGGACTTTTCCACAAAACCTCAACCAACCCATGTCTTAATTAAAAGGATCAAAAAGGATCAGAGGTTGGACAGTTTTTGGTAAATTGGTGACTGCCCAGCTGTGCCTCCTCATCAGTGCCGGGACTTTCTGGCTAATTTGACTTATGGCAAAAATGATTCTAATATTTTGTAATTACATGAAAACATGACACACTGCGATGGTTCTGGACGTGGGGCATTTGGGAAATAGCCTCCGTGTTTGGTTTAAGGCACACATTTGGTAATGTTGATCTTCGGGCTAATGCCATGGTGTGAAATGTTTTACAGTAATTAACTGTGTTTGCCCTGCATTGAAATAACTGCCACTGTTGACCTCTGATCTCTAGTAAAAGCAGCGAGGCGAGGTCCAGGCCTGACCTGTGTCCAGTCATGTGGGAACCAGGAGCGAGTCTCTGAACGATTAGCCTCAGCCTCTCGTTTCTGTTTTCAGATCTACAGTATGCAGCTAAGATGTGGAGCAGTCTTCCTGAGGCTGTGAGACGGGCCTTTACCCTGACTATGTTCAAAACTAGACTGGAAACATATCTTAGCTTACTACTAATTCCATTTGTTACTTTTTATTACTTTTATCCCCTCTTTTACGCTTCTGTTTAAATATGAAAGGATATAACATTTCCTTGACTTTATGCACCTGTGTTTTTAAATTGCTCTTGAATGAAGCACAAATTGTTCTATTGACCAGATGCATCGACGTCATCCAGTTACGTGATTGTGCATGAGCTTACGGCGGAAGTAGTGGAAACAAGCATTGCGGCGAGAGCAAAACGAACTACAACTCTTAAAAACATGACTCCTCTCCTAAATCGAGAAGTGGCTGCTTCAAGCACATGTTCGATTACGTTATAGGTGGAAGTAGGACATCAGGTCAGGGCTCACAAAGAGTGGTATTTGGAGAAGTTAAAGATCGCCTAACTGGATGTTGACCCGTACCTAAAAGAAAGTATCAATGAATCTGTGGCTCAAAATAATAAGTCCTGACCTCATGTGTTTATAAACAAATCGCTCAGTCATGTTTTCATTGTGACAGTTTCCTCTCTGTGTTTTCCAACGCAAAAAAATCAGATCTGGGTGACACTACCTGAAAATACTCAAAACAGCACCATACACTGTACAGCTGTTTGAAAACTAAAGTAAAGTTACATAATGTACACAACACATATGTATGTATGTATAATGTAAGCATGTGTGTACAGTATGTATGTACATCTACATCACAGCAGTTGTCTTCCCTTGAAGGCAACACATTTTGGCAACTAGTTAAACAATTTGGTAAGTTTTGACACCAGCAAAAATAAAGACTATTAGTTTTATAGGGAATGACTATTCATAAGTATGTTTCATTTTGACTGACATGAAAATGTTATAAAACAGCAGAGGATTGTATGAAAGTAACTGATCCTTGTCCAATAGCATTTGGCATTTGTTCAAAGGAGAAACTGCTGCGATGATGTTCACAAATGACTCAATGTTGTGGAGGTTGAACTAATAGTTGTGAGAACTTTTGTTCTGATCTGAGAAAAAGACCAAAGTGTCTTTGAAAAACATTTAACACAAACACAAACTGTACATGTTTAGACAGACATCAGGTTGTGCTTAGGACTTAGTTGTTTGTTGCCGTACGTGTAATTATCCCAATAATGAGCTTTATATCACAGCATATGTCTGCACCTATAGAGGCTAACTGTCTCATCACAGACATAATTCAAATGTTGAGAGTTTTCCATTTAAACCATCATTAATGTAACATAGACCCTCGTGTCCCTTATTGAAAAGCCCATAATAAGCTGCGTGCTGTGATTGGCTGAGAGGAGCTGGGGGTCTGCTCTCTCTGGGGGGAGGGGTGGGGGTCCTTGTGAGCGCGTGGCTGAGTTCTGGAGCGCTCGGCAGCAGACGCGCACATATACAGCAGGGATCAGAGCGCGCAGGCCCCCGGGAATAATAACAACAGCCACTTCTCCCGTGCGTCTCTGAACGGAGGGAAAGAAACACACCACATGACGCCTCCTTCTTCTGCGTGAGTGTCCGCCATGAGCTGCCTGGATGTGATGTATCAGGTGTTTGGTCCTCAGCCGTATTTCAGCTCCTACAGCCCCTACCACCACCAGGTACGACCGCTCTCCAGCGCGCACACACACACACACACACACATACAACACATACACGCACAGAGGGACGTGCAAACTTTCTACCCACTAAAAGGTCCGTGCGTCAAGTCGCGAAATTCTTGGACAGATTAAGTTCAAACTTTTAGACATGTTTATTATGACTACAACTACTGCCAAAAATAATGCATTAACACTATATTTATTGCGGTTTTTTTTTCTTGTCCGTCAAATTCAAAACTTTTCTATTGTCGTATCTCCAGAGATAGATAGATAGATACTTTATTGATCCCCCTAGGAGAAATCCAGGTGTCCAGCAACAAACAAATAAATGCATAATTCTAAAAGTTAAAAACAATAGTCATAAAGTGCAATAGTCTTTATCTTACTTAAGCTGTTGTTGTTTGAGCTTGAACACAAATCGCTTAATGTTGGGGTAGTTTTTTCCTGCAGAGGCCCTCTCTCTCTCTCTCTCCCAGCTGTAAAAGTCTTCTCCTTTTCCCACTCTCTTTAAAGGCTCTCAGTCAACATGCAGGACATATTTCACATAGTGCCAAAACTCACTTTGTCTGTGGCTGAAATAGAGCCCTGCATCAGCCGCTGCCCTCCGCTATTTTTATTGAACTGTGGGCTCTGCTTTTTATAAATGACGCTGTTTTCATTTTATATTTAACATAAGATGAGATCAACTTTGCTTGGTGGTTTTGATTGTATTTTTTCTCTCCAATTTGATCTTTATACTTCAATACAATTTTAGTTTGAACATGCAAATTAGTGTTTGACAATTTGTATGACTAAAGCGAAATTTGCCTCTTGATGATAGTTGCTAGAATTACAGATAATGTGTGAGTGTGTGTGTGTGTGTGTGTGCGTGTGTTAGTGTGTTTCTGAAATTATGAGAACACAAACGTTTTTCCCTTTCCTTACTGGTGGTTGTATGAAGCCATCTCAAATACTGTACATGTGTTTTCTATGTTCAAATTATGTATTCGTTTATTTAGGTGGGACAGTGTGTATCAATGAACAGTAACTGCAGCAGTAACTGTAAATACACCCGAGAGTAGTTTTATGGAGAACTTCCGTCCCATAATCACATCACAAACTTCTCTCCTGACCCTGATCAGAAGTCTCCATCTCCCAGCACGCAATAGCCTGTAAATTCATCTTTAACATATCTAACATATGTGGTAACTGCGGATGAGGTTCTTTATTCAATTCAATCACATTTATTTTTGTATATCCCTAAATCACAACAGCAGTTATCTCAGAGGACTTCATAAAGCTGTCGATTCGCCAACACAGATCAGAGAATCAAACCGTTCACGCAATAATCACAAAACACACAGAGAGTAATCGGTCCATGAGGGGCGGGTGACCAATGTCCATTTACTCTCTGTATGATTGTAAAGCTACTCATTCTTTTTGGCAAATCGCTTTCAGTTGGTGTAAATTCCTGGGCTGTCTTGCATGATTTGCGTGTTTGAGATTTCCACAAATCGGCTCAATTACGACTTGAAAAAAATCAACCCAATTAGACAAAAAACCGTAACACTGCAGCTGAGGATGAGAGGGAAAAGAAATAATTTGTGTTTATTAATCTAAATCTACTTATCAGTCTCATCTAAATATAGACAAAACAATTAAATGGGCGTGTAAACTTCAAGCCCAACTGTATTTAGACAACACACAGTGAGTTTAGTGAGAAAGTAATTCAACAAATGTAGTCCTGATTATAGACCTATATTCTTGGATATAGTTGTAAATAATTAAATTATCTTTTTTAACATGTTTGCACATTTCCTGTCTTTTTGCACACCCTGAGTGATCCTACTGATGCCAATTGTAACATGTTCACTTCTCCATTGGGAAATCAATAAAGGTTTATCTTATCTTGATCAAAATCAGAATTATTTCCATTGTGAATAACAAGATTTCAACAAAATTTATTTGGCTCTTCGTGCAAACCAGTTATATGTAAAAGAAATAGAATATGGCATGCATAAAGATAACAAATGTACGAGATTTTATAAAATTGCTACTGTAAGTGCAAGTAAACTTAAATTATTAGATTTTTATAAATCACACACACACACATTGAAGTTGAAGATGAATGGGATTAAATGAGCAGCTCTGCATTTCCCTTGAATTTAACAGAAATGTAAAACACATTCTGAAAACGGGTAATTCCCTGGTGGCGCAGCGTTAACTCAGGGTCAGCACCGGCCGCTGTGGCACGTCCATAAAAACATGAAGGTGTTAAAAAGAGCTTAGTGGGTTTATCTGCGCAGCACACACCTGCGCCGCTTCCAAAAGCACATTCCAGCCACGCAGCGGTCAGAGGCCAATGTCTAATGTGAATATCCCCAATAAAGCATCATTCTGGTCTGTGCAGAAACTGGCTTTGTATTCCAAAATGCAAGAGGCGCAGCCGGAGAGCAGCAGTCGCCTGGGCTCCGGGGGGCCCCCACACATCAAAGAGGAGGACAAGGAGCTGCCGCCGGGGGCCGAGTACCTGAGCGCCCGCTGCGTGCTCTTTACGTACTTCCAGGGAGACATCAGTGCAGTAGTCGACGAGCACTTCAGCCGAGCGCTGAGCCAGAGCAGCTACAGCACGCCGCACAAGAGCCGAGGTACGGGCCCCACTGCTTCCACCCCAATCACCTCCCTCCACTCACCGCACCCCCCCTCACCACCGGAGACCCTGGCTCTACAAACTTCTTCACTCCTGTTTTGTTTCTTACTTCATGATTTTTCTTTCCAGAATTTCCTAATGCAAAGTTGAGCCAAAGAGTGAATATACTGTATATGAAGAGTCTATACCTTCTTTTCTATATTCATCATATTCCAATTTTTGTTTTTTTTACTATTACTATCAAGATATTTGTACTTCTAGATAGATATATCTATTTACTACAAAATGTACTACTACAACTATCTATACATTTACTTCTTCTACTAAAAGATGTTTTGTTTGGATGTAGACGGACAACGGTGGAACGCTGCACTTTAAGGATAGGATGTTATAATGGTTTGCTTCAGGAGTGTGTGAGCCATGACATGGTTTAAGGCGTCGATCACATAATCAAACATTACTGCTTGTGTCTGTGGACTGAAATAAGTAAATACAGTTTGTTTTATCTTTTCTTATCTTTTGGAACAGTTTAACAGACTTTACAGATTACATTAGAAGTAACAGTGATTATTTGAATGTTAGCTATTGTCGCAACTTACTACTTTGTATAAGTTTAATTCAGTTTTTGCATAGACCTAAATCACAACGGCAGTCATCTCAGGAGGAATTTACAAAGTTGTCAATTCACCAACAACAGATCAGAGAATCAAACAGTTCAACACAGAAAATGGTATAACAATATAACTACATCCAAGCCAGTGGTCCAGGGGCGAGATAAATGTGAATAAATGTCCATAAATTACTGTACATAATTATAATAATGATGCTGATGATTATAGAGTCTTGTACTTACACTTTACAGCCTTCTTGGAGTTCCTCAAAGGACTAGGTCATTGTTCACACTATCGGACACTAACTCTCAAAAATCCATCCTGGGTTTACTTTTCAGACTCTTTCTCTGCTTTTCCCCAGACGGCACGTTCCCAATGAGCCAGAGGAGTTTCCCGCCCTCGTTCTGGAACAGCTCCTACCAGCCCTCGGTGTCCTCGGCCCTGGGCAGCGCTCTCTCTGCGTCCCACACCGAGCTGTCCTTCCCAGGGGACCCCTACTCGTCCGCCTCCCTGCACCCCCACCTGCACCAGCCCGGCCCGGACTCGTGGCACTCCTCCCACCACCACCACCACCACCACCCCTACTCCCTGGGGGGCGCCATAGCATCGCAGGGCTCGGCTTACTCTCGGCCAGGTGTGCATGAGATGTACGGGGCTAGCTTTGACCCCCGCTATGGCCCCCTGTTGATGCCCTCCGTCCGGTCGCACCACCGCCTGGCCTCCAGTAGCTCTGTGCCCGGCCCAAGCGCCTCGCCCTGTGAGCTGGGGGCCAAGGGGGAGTCGGGGGCCGCGTCAGCCTGGAGCGGGACCTTTGCTGGGGCGGGGGACATCGGACTCAACATGGACTCAGGTACATGTCCTCTGTTTATGTGTGTGTGAAAGTGGAGTCTTCAGATTCATCAGATTCAGTTTTTTATTTGCCATTTGCAGTAAAACCACGTTGAAGTCCCCAGTGTGTACTAGACCAGTACTAAAACACAAAACAAGCTAAAAAACACAAAAAGCAATTTTCACTGTGAAACCAATCAACAAAACAGTGTCAAAAACAAGTGCAATATCAGTGCTTTGATCAGACTGAGACTTTCCTCTGTCAGTGGGATAAAGCTGGACCAGAAGAGTCATTGATTATTTTGCTGCATGGGCGGGGTCTTTACTTATACAAGAAATAACATGCTTTAGGTTTGACCATAATAAGACTTTTCACTTTGTTGTTTCATGATTTCGAATTTGGAAGAATAATATTTAGAAAATACATGGAATATTTGAAAATAACTGGCTGCAAACACAGCCAAAAAAACATAATTTACTTGAGGAATGCCAAAACAATATTACAGAACTGAGACAGGTGCTCTTATAGAAGGGGCGGAGTTACTGATATTAGCCTGGATGGATGCAAAAACAACTTTTTGATCCTAATGTGTTTCTGTTAAATTATTGGCACTTATGCAAGAAGGTCCCGGCTTCAATCCCTGAGCCAGATTGCGCCTTTGTGTGTGGAGTTTGCATGTTCTTCCTGCGGTTTCCATAAAACATGTACAATAGGTTTGAGTGGAAAGAGTGCGAGATTATTTACTTAGTATTGGAGATTTAACCTTGCCTGCAAGCTGAATTCTCGCGGTATTTGTGAGTTCACAAACCCTCGAGAATACATCTCGAGAATACATACAACCCGCCAACCCTTTTTGAGTAGAACATCTAGGTGTTCAAGCCAATCATGCGCCAGTCTGGGGTTTAGGACGGGATATCCGGGTTTGACGAAAGCAAGAAGTGCCGGGCCGAAGCAAAACAAACATGGCTACGCAGGAGGACGGACCAGTGGGGGAGGGTCCCAGCTCAAAAGTGGCCAAAATGCTTGCAATACCACCCCGGGCCGATGGGGGTGGACCCAGAAGTAGAATTAGCCAATGCTAACATATAGCATTGGCAGACCTCTCAAAAACGTCTTTACAGGATGGACCAAAAGTTGGCTCTTGGCCCAAAGCTCCGTTCCTCATGTGTGTCAATGCTGAGGGGAGTGAATTTTTTGGTTCACTCTAGTTTACTTGCTGTGAATTTTTTAAGTCTCTCGTTCAAATTAATAGAGCTGCGCCGGCTGACGCATGCGCAGATGCGTTTTTTCACAATTTTCTTGTGGGCGGGACCACTCGCGGCCATTTTGGATTGCTCCAGTAGAGCACATTTTTTGGCCCATTTGTTAGAACGGCGGAGATAGGCGTGACTCTGTCCATTAATATATACAGTCTATGGGACGGACGCGTAGCTGAGGCTATCAAGTCAGTTTTAGCAGAATCTCCAATTTCTTTTTTGAAAGATGAACAGCGAGAGGCGCTTTGTGCATTTCTGGACGGCAAAGATGTTACCGGGATTGGTTTAATTCAAACCTTGGTAGGCGGGCACACAGCGTCACTTCGCCCAATCAGCTTGAAGTATTTTGCTGCTTATCCGTCCTTTCCCCGAAAGGATTCTCCTGCAGAAGTCCCAGATTGATATTGTGGAGAACGCATTAGAGTTCTACACAGTCATCAATCTGGCTCTTGCCAGGTTATTGGAGATTATCAGTAAAATAGATCAGTCCATGTTCATACAGGAGTGTGTCTAGGGCAACACATTTAGCTTTCAAAATAATTCAATACAATATATTCTTGTTAGTAAGTAAGTAATCTTTATTCATACAGCACATTTTTACAGACCAAGGTCACCAAAGCGCTTAACAATGTTCAGAGTTCAGATATTTGTATGGCCCGAAATCTCAACAGTAGTATTTACAAAAGAGGACTTTTCAAAGTGGCTCGATTGACTGAGAACAGATCAGAGGATCCAACGGTTCGAACACAGGAAATATGATAAGAACAAACACATTATAGTGACCCTCCTGTATCGTCAAGGAACAACAACAACAACAACAAAAAACTGGGAAAATAGTGAGAAAACTTGCCTTATTTTTCGCAATGAACGTTGGCTAAAGCATCACTAAAGCAACTGAGTTCTTCCTCAATTCACATATATTTCTAACATTCTCTTTGTATCATTTATAAGTGCTTTTCACCACATTCAGAGACCAGAGCACATAAGATCTATCATCACAATAAGCTGAAAAGAGTGAGCCGTTTAGCAGGACAACTGATATGACATTACATTATAACCCACATGTCCCACATAAACACATCATATTTGGAGTCGTCTCAAGCTTCATTCATGCAAACATCAGGAATCTTCGGCACTCGGAACGTTCTTAAAATTATCTGAATCTTCCTGAGCTGCGGAGATCTGTCTCTATCTGTTTTTAACAAATGTATTGTCTCTGAATTCTCCAGCTTGACAACTGCGTGCCGACGGACATATTTGAACATGTTTTATAATAACTTGCATTTTGTTTTCTCAATGTGATTTTCTTTAACCTTCTGCCTGTCTCTGATTTCTCGTATCTTTTCGACGTGCTTATTTCAAGTTCTAAAATGTGAAAGGGACAGTAAGGGCCAAAATTTGATACAAACAATGAAATTTGATCTGTTCTTTAGATATTTTCTCAGCGTGCCTCAGTTTTATCAAACTGTCTAATCCACAAATTATTTGACACAAAAACACAATAATTTGAAAGAACTTATGGCAAAAACAAGCACAATAAATTACAAAAATACTATGAATCTTTACTTCAGACTCAATCAATTGGTGGATATTTTAAAAGAATAGGAATAGAAAAAGAGAAAACACATAACAATATATGAACGGTCCAAGTCCGAGCAGATCTATAAGTGATGGTAGAGTGTGTTAACCCAGTGCTTTCCCCGAGAATGTTACAGTCGGTTATGTGTCTGAAAAAAGCCAGACGCTCCTTGAAATTATAATTTAGAAATAAAAAACACCAAAACAGATTTAGTATGTTTTGACACAAATAATAATCACTTCTTCGGCGATAGTCGTGAGTTAAACCTGACTTGAACTTGTTGATTGTGGACCTCATAGCTCCAGGATTAAAAGAATAACAAAATGATAATATCCAATAACAATATTGTGTTTTGCCATAACAATAAATCTATTTTCTGACTTATGTTTGTTGAATTAAAGGATAACAAATCTGCTAAAATTCTGCAATATTTGGAGTTACCAGCTAAGAGACTGGATTATAAAAAGTTAAACGTGTCAAAATGAGAAACTAGAGAAAAATCATGTGATGTATTTAGAAATATTAAGGAATTTTGGTGTTCAAAAAACATTTTTATTGAGCCGCTAAAGTGAAGACATTTGTGAGGGAACCACAGTTTGTATCAGTCCATAGCTTAGTTTATGCTGAACTGTGGGTCACTCAGCACTTTGACACCAGAAGTGGCCTCCTCTCTGCCAGGCTCTCTGTGCTCTGTCTGAGGCCTGTGTGTGTGTTCGTGTGTGTGTGTGTGCATGTGTGTGTGTGTGCCTGTGTGTGCGTGTACAGCCCAACGCACAGCCTTTCTAATCCTCTCTTTTCTCCTTTGTCTCACCTCTTCTGTCTTGTGTCTTGTGTCCACTGCTGTCTCTCAGGTCTTCCGGCGCAGGATAAGACCAAGGAGTTGTACTGGTTTTGAGTCGCCCATTTCCAGTCGTGTAACTGTGTGTAATGGTCTGCTTACAGCCCTGTGCTACGGCGGACTGTGCGCTTGACGACGCGCACACACACACACCGCAACAAAAGTGGGACAAAAAGACGCTAAAGTGAAAACTGAGGACGACATTCCCAAATTGGAAAAAAAAAGGACAAAAGACAAAGACAGACCCGCAGGCTGGCCATAGACACGTGGACCAGCACTTTGAAGGAGAACCCAGTCTCTCACCGGGAGGAGGACTCAAGGAATACTACACTCTTTGGTTTTACATGGAGTTTTTATTATTATAATTGTACAAGTGACAAAAGGACAATTGAAATCTCATTTGCGTTGTTAATTGAAGCATGTGTTGAGAATAGCATGTTTACACTGTCAGGGAGATTGTACTTTTACCCAATGCATTACAAGTCAACTGTGAATCAAAAAAAAGAAAGAGAAACGAAAAAACGTCTTTTCTTCGAAGTCCTGACCTCAAGACGGCAACTTGTTTCGCACAAATATATATACGGCAGTAAAATAACCGCACAATATGTCACGACTGGAGCCAAATTTTGTCTCAATCCTGCCGGACAAAACTGGATTATGTTTTAATTTCTCCTCATTGCAAACACTGTCTGTTTATTTATTGCTGGCTGTTATATAAGCTTCGTACTCCAGCGCAGGCGGGAGGACCAAGTGGTTTCTCAGCGGTTCTTTTAGTCGCAGCTGTCCGCGTTTGCAGCAACTGTGCGCGTCCCCGTGCAGGACACAGCGGGGGCTCTCAAGCGCGCACTAATGAAAGGGGGCCGAGACGAGCTGTCCCGGGACAACTGCTCTGGAGGACACGCACACAACTGTCACATTGTAATAATAATAAGGACCGGTGCAGGCTATTTCTATTCCTGTGTGCGCATGCAGCAGGCCAAGAGCATGGCCGCAGCTTTGGTCAATTCAATATGTGTCTGTGCTTGGATTAGAATTGGAATAATATTCGGCTATGTCTTAAAGATAGGGTTTAAAGCTGGGGTACCTATAACGTGAAATGATCAAAATAATAATATATGTTGTTAAATGTAAAAAGTTCATTTTGTGTTCTCATGTTAAAGTAGCAATATGTAAGAATTGAATGTCAAGTCACCATTAAATGGCCATAATACGTCAAAAAGCATTAAACCATACTCATAACTGATAAAAGTAGTTAAGCCGACATATTCAAATTTAGAAAATAGTTTTACAGCCCAAAATGTTGTTATTGCTTTCATTTTGATGTTCTGACCTCCATTGTTTTACCAATCAGAAAGTCTGTGATCTTGTTAGGATTCTGATATCATTAATGACAAAACAAGGAATAAAATTAGAATTTCTATCAGAGCCTTTGAAAAATGGAGACAATTTAAGGCGGATAAGAACTTTTAATCCAACGCAAAACTTACCGGTTTGGAGCTACCTTTACAGAGTATAAGGCGGTGGTTCGTTGGTTATGTTCAGGGCTTTTTCTACAGTGACCTGGTTTCAATACCAGTTTTTCAATACTCGAGTGCACAGTAAACACGTGCCGCTTTAACTCATTGGTTGCCAAAGACGTGACACTGACTGCCAAAGACGTCTTAGACGTGTTCCTGTTTTGACAAGGGGAACTATAATAATGTCTGCCTCACCTGATGATAAAGAAATCAGCCAGTATCCAGATATATAACATTTAGTGATCAGTCAACACCAGTATTGCCCACCGGTGGGGTCAAATAACTGAATATCCCGTGGCTGTTAAAAGTTAGGTCAAATCCCCTGTAAATACACTTCCCTGATCTGAAATGACGAAGTAAAGTTAAACAAAACTTTAATTCGTCATTTCAGATCAGGGAAGTGTATTTACAGGGGATTTGACAGGGGATTTCATGAGACCATACCCTGTCAGTGTGCAAAATGAGATTTATCCCAAATCAAAATTATTTCAGTCTCTTTTTTCTTTATACATGTATGTCTATAACAAATTGGCGGGTTGTGATATTGTAACCATTTACATTTTTCAACCTAAAATAGCCTAATTTTGGTGAAAAAAATGTTGGTTTTAGATTTGTCATTGACAAAACTCTTGAGTCAGGGAGGGTGGGAGAGGACTACAGAATACTGATCGTGATTGCAGTACCACTTTTGGCAAGATTTTTAGATATTGCTTCGGTAAGGATTAGACGGTTTTACAATATATACAAATTACAAAATACACATTCATTTACATGTTTTGTCTCATTAAAAGAACCGTCTAAGCCTTAGATATCGGTTATTGTCAAAACGGAAAGAGTCTTGACTTATTACTGTCTATTTAAACTCAAATCGCTGAAAAAAGACCTGGACTTCAGGACTTCAGGACTAACACGGCTCTGGACCTGGGCTGAGAGATCAATGCATTTCAGTCACCAAGAAGAAAATGTAAGAATCAGCAATTGCAATACACCAGTTAATTAATAGTGTTGTGCCTCTTTATCCAATCATTCAAAATGTATGAAAAGTTCTGCAGTCGTAAACAATCAGAAGTGATCAGAAGTTCAGTGACCCCATGTTATGCCCACACTTGTCAGAGTGAGTCACTGTTAGTCAATAAATGATGCTTTGGGCTGAGAGCTAATTTCTCTCTTTCATACTTCTATCTGAAAAAGGCCAAAGAAAGCCTGCAAAAACAATAGAAAACTGTTTTGAGAGCAAGGGACTAATTTGATGGATTTTAAATATTTCATTTGTTCTTGGTTTGGAAGTTAAATACCCCAGCTTTAACTGATTGATTCAAAGAAGACATATTGAGCCATCATTATAAACACTTGCTGCTTTACTGAACTTCACTAGCAGCAGAGCAGAGCTGTTTCCACCGCAGGAACCTGAATATAGTTGAAAATACAGAACACTCAAACACAATTCACGAGGTCAAGACGAGACTTTTTACCATTTTAATCTCGTAAATCACAAAATACTTCAGAAACATGTCATCGATGGCTTTGCTGCACCTGATACACACATTGCCGTGACATAAACAAAAAGCCAGTCTTCTGCTGAACTAAAACGTTACGTGATTTGCCAAATCTGTGCTCAAGTTTTAAAATATTGGTGTAAAGTCTTTGTATGTATTTGCTGCTATTATAAAGAAAATGACGAAAGCACAATCTGGTTTGTCATTTGTTTTGTGACCGTTACAGGGCATCTCAGAAAATTCTATTGTATGTCATTGTTAAAATAATGTATGTTTCTGACCATGGGACACCGGACTTTTATGTACAGTAAATATTTTTGAAAATGTTTTAAAAATTATTTAAACATTCTCTTCCATTGGATGAACTACGACCAGTAATATTTGCAGGAGGAGAACATTTGAACCAATGACGAGGGACCTCAATGATTTATATGAATTTCAACCAATCAGGAAGCTGCAGAGGTGAGCGTCTAACCAATGCTTGTCTTTCTGGGTAAAACACAAGATTTACTTCTGCTTCACAATTTGGATGGAAGATGGAAAAACACACTTTTGGTCTTTAAAAGGTATGTAAGAGGATTTTCTTCTTCCGGGTCGATCATAAAGAAGCAAAGTCTAAAATACTCCTACAGTAACTGTCAATTATTCTGGTGATATGTGACTAGAGGCTGTCGTACGTTATAGTAGGCCTTCCCTTTGGAGAGGGCGGTTCAATCCTAAATTTGGGAAAATCCTCCTATATATAACATAGAGAATGAGGGCTGCTCCTGGGATTAAATAGCCATCGTACTAGTTTAATTTCGTACAGGATGAAGGTCTGGATTTTCTACTTTGAGCTCTGATAACAGGTTGGTTATGCAAGAGTGAGTCGTTTAGTATTAAGCCTAGCATTAGCCATCTCCTTTGCCACAAACGAGAGCCAAAAAATATTGCCAGCGATGACATTTGCCTCAATGAAAAGGATGAAACATTCCTCTTGCGCCGATTTCAATTTCTTGATATTTGGAGCCGAATCAGAACGGGTTACTTTACTATCGCATTTGCGGCCGTTGCAAAACTACAACCAGCAAATTAGAAACAAACCCACGACACCAACCTACAACACCGGCCTCCCCCGCTCGCTGAATGGTTGGGTGGGATACAACCGAGGTAACCGCAGGCACTAGGATCAGACCCAGACGTACATGTAGAGAAATGATGATTGGCCAGAGTTTACGGATGGTTGAAATGTGTTGGTTTTTCCTGTAATAATGAAGGAATTTTAATACAGTGGTAACGCTATACCTTTCGCGGCCTCGCTGTTTCTCATTTTTTTGGTGCAATTGTGTAGGCTTTTTTTACAGCGTACTCAACAACTCAAGAACATCACATACAACATCATATAGTAAAACACGACAGTTAAGAAAACGTTTGTGTCTTGCGTGCACTGCTGTGATTAGTTCAAAGGACTTCCGCAGTCCTCCTGTTGCCCTCAGTCCTGCTCCTGCCCCTCAGTGTCGTCTGTGTTTTAAAGTGTATGCACGCCTTTTGACAGCTGTAGCTGCGCTCGTACATACAATAGACCAACATGTTGGATATCTCTAACAGTCGTGAGTTAGAAAAGCGTGAAAAGTGTGTATGAGGGTCTTACAGCCTTGAAACATAGATGGTAACCCCGTGATAAACTGGAGACCACTGTAGACCAACAGGAGTCCCTCGGGTCTATTTGCCCCCTTCAAATTGCCACAATAGTAATTACTTTCATGTGAATCTCCCTTGCAACTATTCAGTATTTTTACAAGGCCCAGTGCAGCCCCTCTCCCCTCCCCCCTCCCCCTCTTCCTCTACACCTATTGTACTGTCTGTTTCAGTCACTTTTGCCATGCATTAATGTTAATGATAAGTCTGCAGGGAAAACGTATTGTGTGTGATCCCCTTTGACAGAGCAGCTGGCCCAATAGGGATGCCTCTCATTATCCACATACTTGCACTGGGTTTGGCCGTGCGATCTTTACTACGGCATCAATGGACCAGTAAACCATTATGAGCCGTCCGTGCAAACTGC